TGATTAATAATGAACAAGCTGACATAGCTTTATTATGGCTAGTGTACTTCCTACTTCCGGAACAGATCCTTACAATTACTAATTGATTTCCCAGGTTTTAGAAGACAAGTGAGCAAAATACTCACCAGTCAATCACTTACCTGTTTCATTTTCTCCATTGGCAGTTTTTTGGTTGGGAGGAGCAGACTCCTACTGTCTCCCTGCCCCTTCCCGTGCAGCTTCTCTACCCCTTCACTCCTGAAGGCTGGCCATGCTTGAAAAAGGGATGGACTCCTCCTTTCCTGTCTTAACTCCCTCATTCAGCTAACCCCTTGTGTTGCTCTCTGTGCACCTCCTTCATTTATGTGAAAAGAGACTCAGAAGAGGAAGCTGTGAAGCAAACCAAATCAAGATCAGTTACTTAACGAAATGCTTAACTACCTGCAGCTACCGAGATTCCTTACCCCTGTCCGAATCTGGAAGAAACTTCAAGTGTTTCCAATAAAATGCTTATTGCAAGCAAGCAAGGTTACGTCTCACTTTTTAAAAAAGAAGTTAACCCTTAAGCTTAATTTTCTGACTCATCAAACCCCTAATAACACACTCTGCCAATAAGCTGCATTGTCAGAAACAAAATCAGAAATTGGTGGAGAAACTCAGGCAGCATCTGTGGGCGAGGAAAGCAGAGTTAACATTTCGGGTCCAGTGACCCTTCTTCAGAATTGAATGTAGCAAGGGAAATGTTAGGATATATGCTAGAGAAAGGGTGGAGGGAAAGAGTAAATGATAGGCTGGGATGGAGCCCAGATAGAGAGAGAAACAGTTGGACAAAGGAATGGGTAATGGTCAGTCTGGGAGAATGAGTGGCTGCTAATGGGGACTATTGGCAATGGGTTGTTTGTGGTAGCAGGCCATGTGATGACAAGGTTTAGTGTGTGGGGTTTCGGGTAGTGGCATGCGAGAACTCAGTACAGATTCCCAGAAGGTTGAAGAGCTCCCAAGCAGAAAATGAGATGCTGTTCTTCCAGTTTGTGCTGAGCTTCGCTGGAGCACTGCAGCAAGCCTGAGTCAGAGATGTTGGCCAGCAAACACGGTAATGGGTTGATGTGGCAGGCAGTGGGAAGCTCAGGGTCATTTTTGCAGACAGAAGGGAGGTGTTCTGCAAAGAGGTCACCCTGCTTGCATTTAAGAAGACTGGATTGAGTGAAGTGGGAGGTGTATCTGGGACCTGCTCAAAGTTGTTCATCCTTTCACTTTCAAGAGCCACGTCAACATTTTCATAATGGTTAAGTAATGTGTGAATTTTACACCAGATGGTTTAGTGTTAGGCACTGTGCTGCTACATCTAAACCCAGGGCTTTTCTGTAGATATTATGAGGATATTATTATACTAGAAAGGGTTCAGAAGAGATTGACCAGGATGTTGCCAGGAATGGAGGGTTTGAGTTATAAGAAGAGGCTGGACTGACAGGGGCTTTTTTCACTGGAGTGTAGGAGGTAGAGAGATGACCTTATAGAGGTTTATAAAATCAAGAGGGGTAAAGATAAGTTGAATGGCAGTGTCCTTTCTCTCGGGTAGGGGACTTCAAGGCCAGGGGACAGACTTTTAAGGTGAAAGGAGAAAGATTTAAAAAGGATCTGAGGGGCAACTTTCTTACACAGAGTGGTTCGTGTGTGGAATGAACGTCCAGAGGAAGTGGTGGATGTGGGTACAGTTACGGTTAAAAGACATTTGGATAAGTAAACGAAAAAGAAATATTTGGAGGGATTTGGGTCAAACGCAGGCAGGTGAGACTGGTTTAATTTGGGATTAAGGGAGACATGGACTGGTTGGACCGAGTGGTCTGTTTCCATGCTGTATGCCTCTATCCAACACCAGGCTCACATTTCCCACCTCCAGGGTTCACACAGAAAGCCACAATGAGGTGTAAGAATGGCAGAATGGGGGGAATACACCTGACCATCAGTTGACTAGAAGTTCACTAGGATTGATATCAGGTTTGTATTACGAAGAGAGATTGAGCAGTTTAGACCTACACTCCCTGCAGGTTAGAAGAATAAAAGGAGATCTAATTGAGGTATTTTAAAGGCTGAAAGAGACTGACAAAGTAGGTGGAGAGAGGACAAAGAACAAAGAGAACAAAGAAAATTACAGCACAGGAACAGGCCCTTCGGCCCTCCAAACCTGCACCGATCCAGATCCTCTATCTAAACTTGTCGCCTATTTTTCAAGGATCTGTATCCCTCTGCTCCCTGCCCATTCATGTATCTGTCTAGATACATCTTAAATGACGCTATCGTGCCCGCCTCTACCACCTCCGCTGGCAACGCATTCCAGGCACCCACCACCCTCTGCGTAAAGAACTTTCCACGCATATCTCCCTTAAACTTTTCCCCTCTCACCTTGAAATCGTGACTCCTAGTAATTGAGTCCCCCACTCTGGGAAAAAGCTTCTTGCTATCCACCCTGTCTATACCTGTCATGATTTTGTAGACCTCAATCAGGTCCCCCCTCAACCTCCGTCTTTCTAATGTAAATAATCCTAATCTACTCAACCTCTCTTCATAGCTAGCACCCTCCATACCAGGAAACATCCTGGTGAACCTCCTCTGCACCCTCTCCAAAGCATCCACATCCTTTTGGTAATGTGGCGACCAGAACTGTACGTAGTATTCCAAATGTGGTCGAACCAAAGTCCTATACAACTGTAACATGACCTGCCAACTCTTGTACTCAATACCCCGTCCGATGAATGAAACCATGCCGTATGCCTTCTTGACCACTCTATCGAACTGCGTTGCCACCTTCAATGTACAATGGACCTGAACACCCAGATCTCTCTGTGCATCAGTTTTCCCCAGGGCTTTTCCATTTACCATATAGTTTGCTCTTGAACGTCGCTCTTGAGGACATTTCCTCAAGTGGGACAATCTAGAATTTGAGGTCATTGTTTCAGGATATGGGGTGGCAGATGTAAAACAGGGATTAGGATGAATGACTTCTCTCAAAGTGGGGGGAGGTGGGTGAATCTGTGGAATTCACTACCACGCACCCCGCCCCAGAGTGTGCGTGGGGGACACTGAGTAAATTTCAGGGGGAGACGGACAGATTTTCAATCAGTAAAGGGTTATAGGGAGCGGGACAGGAAACTGGGTTGAGGCCGAGATGAGATCAGCCAAGATCATGTCGAATGGCCTACTCCTAGCTGTTATGTTCTTCCAGGTTGAATGCAACTCTGCTGGACGCCGAGGACACCTCATGGATCTTCAGTTTGAAACTGTTTAATCTGTTCTAGAGCTAAGGAGGTGGGAGGCAATGGCTTAGTGGTATTATTGCTAGACTATTAATTCAGAGTAATGCAGGATGTGGGGTCAAATCCTGCTGTAGCAGATGAATGCAACAAAAGACCATTTTATTTGAAACAAAACAGTATCAATCGCTGTAAAGCCCCATCTGGCTCATAAAAGCCCTTCAGTATGCAGAGAGTGGAGGTAAAGTGTTGTTTTTCAGGATAGCAGCCACTAACTAGTGGAGTTCCGCAGGGGTCCATGTTGGGACCGCAGCTGTTCACGTTAATATTTAATAATTTTATGGCTGAAGGAACTGAGGGCATTGCTGTTATGTTTGCAGATGACACAAAGATAGGTAGACGGACAGGTAGTGTTGAGGAGTCAGGGAGGCTGCAGAAGTTTCTGGATAGACTTAGAGAGTGGGCAAAAAAGTGGCAGATGAAATACAATGTTGGAAAGTATGAAGTTATGCTCTTTGGTAGGAAGGATAGAAGGATAGGCTACTTTCTGAATGGGGAAAGGGTTCGGAAATCTGAAGCAGAAAGGAACTCGGGAGTCCAAGTTCAGGATTCTCTGAGGTTAACGTGCAGGTTCAGTTAGGAAGGCAAATGCAATGTTAGCACTCATTTCAAGAGGGCTAGAATACAAGAGCAGAAATGTACTGCTCAGGCTGTGTAAGGCTCTGGTCAGGCCACATTTGGAATATTGTGAGCAGTTTTGATCCCCAAATCTAATTAAAGATGTGCTGGCCTTGGAGGGGATCCAGAGGAGGTTTACAAGAATGATCCCAGGGATGAAAGACTTGTCACATGGGGAGCAGTTAAGGACTCTGGGTCTGTACTCGATGGAGTTTATAAGGATGAGAAGGGGATCAGATTGAAACTTACAGAATACTGAGAGACCTGGATAGAGTGGACGTGGAAAAGGTGTTTCCACGAGTAGGAGAGACTAGGACCCAAGGGCACAGCCTCAGAGTGAAGGGACGGTCCTTTAGAACTGAGATGAGGAGGGGGGGTGGTGGTGAATCTGTGGAACATATTGCTGCAGAGAACTGTGGAGGCCAATTCACCGAGTGTCTTTAAGACAGAGATAGAAACGGTAGTTCTGAAGAAGGGTCAATGGACCTTTAATGTTAACTCTGCTTTCGCTCCACAAATTCTGCCAGACCTGCTGAGACTTTCCAGCAATTTCTGTTAATTTTTAATTTAGTCATTCACGTATGAGGGCATTGCTGGCTAGGCCCAGTGTTTATTGTCCATCCCTAATTACCCAGAGGGCAGTTAAGAGTCAATCACATTGCTGTGGGTCTGGAGTCACATGTAGGCCAGACCAGGTAAGGATGGCAGTTTACTTCCCTAAAGGGCATTAGTGAACCAGATGGGTTTTTCCCCAACAATGGTTTCATGGTCACCATTAGACCCTTAATTCCAGACCTTTTTTTTATTGAATTCAAATTTCACCATCTGGGATTCGAACCCAGGTGCTGGGTCTCTGGATTAACAGTCCAGCGATAATACCTCGAAGCCACCACCTCCCCTTATGCTTGAGATTGACAGATTCTTGATTGGAAAGGGGATCCAAAGATTACGAAGGGAGGGAGGAGGGGAGGGGAGGGGAGGGGAGGGGATCAGGGGGGTGTAGGGGGAGGGGATGGGGAAGGGATGGGGGGGGTGAAGGATTGGGGTGGGGGAGGGCCTATTCCTGTGCGTTACAGATTCCAGAACAAAGTCTTGTCAATATTTACAATCAACGTTTATTTTCAGACATGAGGCGACACAACTCTGGAGCAACGGGTGGGGGTTGGGGGGGTGGCAGTCTTGAACCTTCTGGCCCAGAGGTGCGAACGCTACAACCCCTGTCACATCCTTGGTGCATCCGAGTTTGAGTTAGGAGCTGGGACCGGGGCTGGGGCCGGGGCGGTGGGTGGGGAGGGGGTAAGTCAGTACTCAGATGTCCGGCTCTGCTCAGACGACAGCCCGGGGGTCCCAGCAGTAGTGGCTGTCGGACTGCAGGCTGCTCAGTAGCTCAGCGTCCTCCTCTCTCAGGCGGAAGTCGAAAAGCTGGGCGTTGGCGGCCACACGCTCAGGCTCGGCCGATTTGGGGATGACGCCGATTCCCTGCTGCACGGCCCAGCGCAGCAGCACCTGGGCCGGGCTGCGGCCGTAGGCGACGGCCAGGGCTTGGACCTGAGGCTCCTCCAGCAGGCGCCCGGAGCCCAGCGAGGAGTAGGCCTGCAGGTGGAGGCCGCGCTCGGCGCAGAAGGCCAGCAGGTCGCTCTGCACCAGGCGCGGGTGATACTCCACCTGCAGCACAGCGGGCGTCACCCGGCAGTGCTCCAGCATCTCTCGGAGGTGGCCCACTGTGTAGTTGGAGACACCGATGGCACGGAAACGGCCGCTCTCGTACAGGCCTTCCAGCACTTCCCAGCTGTGGCGCCGGCAGACCCGGTTACGGGGGTCCTCACTCTTCCAGCCCTGTCTGCCAGGCCAGTGGATGAGGTAGAGGTCCAGGTATTGGCAGCCCAAGGCCTCCAGGCTCCGTAAGGCACCCTCTTCCGCCCGCTCCCCCTGGTCTGCCGGTGACAGCTTGCTGGTGATGAAGATGTCGGCCCGGGAGAGGCCGTGCTTCGGAAGCAGCTCCGCCAGCGCCTGCCCAATGTCCGCCTCGTTGCCGTACACGCTCGCCGTGTCCACGGAGCGGTAGCCGTGCCCCAGGGCAGAGTCCAGTGCCCGGTACACGGCCTCGTACCCCCGCAGCTTGAAGGTGCCCAGGCCCAGCAGCGGCATCTCCACCCCGTTGTTGAGTTTCACGCTCTCCATCCTCCCCGATCAGGACGAACGGCAGATGGATGGGAAGTCGGGTTGTTGGGGGGTGGGGGGGAGGGGGCGACGTGACGTGGAAGTAACAAGGACTGCGGGCGCTGGGGATCTGAAACAACAAAAAAAAAACACATGGCTGGAGAAAGTCAGCAGGTCTGGGGAGAGAGAAAACAGAGTTAACGTTTCTCGTCCAGTGACTCTTCACTAGGGAGTCCAACAGCACTGATACAGACCCTTTGGTCCTACTCGTCCCTGCTGACCAGATATTCTAAATTAGTCTGCTCCCATTTGCCAGCATTTGGCCCATATCCTCTAAACCCTTCCTATTCATAGAGTCATTCAACTGGAAACAGACCCTTCGGTCCAACTCGTCCATGCAAACCAGGTATCCCAAACTAAACTAGGCCAATTTGCTTGCGTTTGGCCCATGTCCCTCTAAACCTTTTCTGTCCATGCACTTGTCCAAATGTCTTTTAGATGTTGTTATTGTACCCATCTCTACCACTTCCTCTGGCAGTTCGTTCCATACCCTCTGCTTGAAAATGTTGCCCCTCAGGGTCCCTTTCAAGTCCTTCCCCTCTCACTTTAAACCTATACCCTGTAGTTTTGAACTCCCCTACCCTTCGGAAAAGATCTTTGCTATTCACCTTATCTATGCCCCTCATTTTATAAACCTCTAAAAGGTACCCTCAACCTCCTACACTCTAGGGGTAAAAAAAAAAGTCCCAGCCTATCCAGCTTCTCCTTATAATCCATGTCTCATTTGTATTGATTTTCTCTCCCATTCTCTCAATTCAGTCCAAAGATGTACAGGTGTCAGTGGATTAGCTGTGTTAGATTACCCCACAATGTCCAGGGATGTGCAGGCTAGGTGGGTTAGCCATGGGAAATGCAGGCTTATGGGGATAGGGCGGGATGCTGTTCAGAGTCAGTGCAAACTCATTGGGCCAAATGGCCTCTGTCTGCACCATGGGAATTCTATGATATTGACGACTTGGATGAGGAAAGTGAACGTACTATCGCCAAATCTGCAGACGACACTAAAATACGTGGAAAGGCAAGTGTTGAGGATGACCACACAGAGTCTGCACAGGGATACAGATAAATTAAATGACTGAGCAAAAATTTGGCACACAGAATATAATGTGGCAAAATGTGAGGTTACGCACTTTGGCAGACAGAATGGAACTGAAAGATAGTAGGAACTGCCGATGCTAGAATCTGAGATAACAAGGTGTAGAGCTGGATGAACACAGCAGG